TGTGGGGTGTTGATTGTGTTTCGATTTTTCCACGGGAAAACCCCTCTTTTTCATGCCCAGGAAAAATGGTGACAGCGTTTTTTGAATTCTTTTATAGATTACACAAGCAAAGATTAAAACCAATCGAATGAAAAATGCGGATTTTTCAAACAAACTTTGGAGCTTGTTTTCCCCCCTTTGGAGATAGATTTTTTCCAAGGATAGGATACTTGAGCTCAAATTTCACCTTTCTAGCTTTTACCGTTTGGGCTGTGGGCTGCTGATGCGGTTTCCTTTTGTGCCCCAACTAGAAACAAGAAAGGAATGCTAAAGTCGAGCAGGCTCAACTCTTAAATACCCTGTACCACCCCACAAAAAAGTAATTAAATTAATTAATTAATTTAATTAAATTAATTAACTAAATTAATTTAATTAATTAACTAAATATTAACTAATTAAATATAAAATATTCCATGCATGCATACATACATTTACAATTACATCAGAATCGTGTCTATGCGTGTTTGTGTACTTGTACATATGTATGTATGTGTGCATTGAGCCTGGTTATATGGCTATAACTTTCTTTCCGATCATTCTATCATAATGAGACTTGGTATACGGTTATATAATTACTAACCTAATGTGACTACCAAATTTTAGTTCAAAATTCCAAGAATTACGGGAGTTATAGAAAATCGTTAATAGGGGGTGAGTGGGGGGGTGGATCAGAAAAAATGAACAAACTCGTCCTTTCTCGGCCTCAGGAGAATCTGTATACCAAGTTTGGTTATTCTAGCTCTTATACTTTCGGAGATCCTTGCGTTCATACAGACAGACAGACGGACAGACAGACGGACAGACGGACAGACAGACGGACAGACGGACATGGCTATATCGACTCGGCTTGTCATGCTGATCAAGAATATATATACTTTGTGGGGTCTACCAAGCCTCCTTCTGTGTGTTCCATGTGCACTCGCACTAAACTAATATACCCTTGTACCCTTTGGGTACAGGGTATAAAAATTCAAAAAAACCAAGTATGCAGTTTTTCTTGGAATTTTTCTGAGAGTATAGAAACTATTTTTGAAGTTAGTCAGATGACGATTTTTCATACAAAGCCTGTTTCCTCCCCTTGGAGCTAGAATTTTCCAAAATGGGAAAATGGGTACCTACACTATGATAGGATACTTGTGCCCAAATTTCTGCTTCCTAGATTCTACAGTTTGGGCTGTACGTTTATCAACAATCAGTCAGTCAGAACAAACTGTTTATATAGATAATTGTTGGCTAATGTAAATTTCGTTTGAAAAGAATGACTAGAAAATCATCACCGTCGGTTTCAGAAAAAAGATGCTATCTAAGATTCAAGAGCCTCAGAAACCTGAGGTCTATATCCATTAAAAATATTCCTGTAGTCCGCCGAAAACTACAAGAAACGGCGACTCAAGACCTATGTACCTATCAGGTGGGCATAAATAATCAGAAAAATCAACTGCTGCCGATTGCGTGTGTATTCTAAAACAAGTAAAAAAGCTAAAGTCGGGTGTCCCGACTTTGAAATACTCTGAACATATGTTTACAATAATTATAGAAACTAAAAAAATTTTGATCGATTTTACCTCTCTTGGACTAAAATTTGGTGCCCCTAGGTCTCATAGTCTCCGAGAACGGAAATCCGGGAAAACCTATATAGGGGGAAAGTGGGGGAGAAAATCAAAAAATTAAAACAAAGTTGCACAGTGGTCACACATAGCGCATCTTTGTGCAGAATTTGGTGTCTGTAGCTCTTATAGTCTCTGAGATCTAGGTGTTCATCTGGACAGACAGACTGGGTTAGATCGACTCGTCTTGCCATACTGATCAAGAATATATATACTTTGTGGGGTCTGCCTCGCCTCCTTCTGCCTGTTACATTTTCAGATCCCGCAAAATATACTCTTGTACATTTCATGTACAGATTATAACATGGGAGAAAAATATTATGTCAAGCGGGCTCAACTTTTATATCAATACCCTATACCCATTTCTGTGCATATTACATTCGCACTAAACGTGTACACACTTTGTTTACGGAGCGTAAAAATAAAATATATGCCCATTTGGGCATAAATTTTAAGATTTTTATTCAAATCAAGAAAAGAATGCTAAAGTCGAGCAAGCTCAACTCTTAAATACACTGTACCTCCCACCAAAAAAAAAAAATTTTTTAAAATTAAAAAAATTGTATTAATTAAATTATTTAATTAAATTAAATACCTGTTCATGTACAGTTTCAACAGCATACATTTACATCAGAAATTTTAGTTCGAAATTCCAAGAACTACGAGAGTTATGGGGAAAAAACACAAATTGCGGGGGAGTGGGGGGTGTACCAGAATAAAAAACAAGAGAGAACGCTACAGCCGAGCAAGCCCGACAGTAAAATAGCCTGTACTATATTAGGTTTGTGCAAAGTATGTAACATGCAGAAGGAAGCATCTCCGACCCCATAAAGTATGTATATTCTGAATCAGCATGACGAGAGAAATCGATCTAGACATGTCCGTCCGTCCGTCCGTCTGTCCGTCTGTCCGTCTGGATGAACGCGAGGATCTCAGAAACTATAAAAGCTAGAATAACCAAAGTTGGCATCCAGATTCTCCTAGGTCCGAGAAAGGACGAGTTTATTTTATTTTTTGGAATTTTCCCCCCCCTTCCCCCGCTACAGAATTTCGTCAATAGCGTCCACATTTCAAATGCTACCTAAACCAAACTTTGCACACATAATTTATATATAATTGTCTACTGTTTACCCTACGGGTACAATTTTATTCAATTCGGTCAATTCTAAGAAAAGTTATTAGCGAAACAAATTCTCGCCAGTACAACCTCCCCAAACTGCAGCAACAAGTTCGCTCTTCTTCTTCCTCTTTTTGCTGCTGCTATGGGCGCATATAACTCAGTGACGGAAGTTTACCTGGGTACAGGGTATTACACTGTCGGGCTTGCTCGACTGTAGCGTTCTCTCTTGTTTTAAATTAAATTATTAAAAAAAATAGAATTAATTAATTAAATTAAATTAGAAGACATGTTTATGTTCAGTTTTAACAGCATACATTTACATCACGTGCCTATGCGTGTATGTATGCAGCATAAAGTTGAACCAAAGCACCAACAACATCAACAGCTGCGGGCAGAGCTGCAGGCAGCGCATGAGCAGCGATTTATTTATGGCTATAACTTTCTTCATAATTGACCTATCATGATGGTACTTGGCATACGGGCAAATAACTACGAACTAGATGTATATGCCAAATTTGAGTTCAAAATTTCAAGAATTACCGGAGTTAGGAAAAACACATACATACATTCGCAGAAAACTAGTATAGCCTTTCACCCTTTGGGTACAGGCTATAATAAACTTGACCGGTTTATGGAAATCTGGTTACCGAGTTTGGTTATTCTAGCTCTTGTACCTTCTGAGATCCTTGCGCTCATACAGACGGACGGACGGACTGACGGACATGGCTATATCGACTCGGCTTGTCACGCTGATCAAGAATATATATACTTTGTGGGATCTTCCACGCCTCCTTCTATGTGTTACATACATTCGCACAAAACTAGTATAGCACCCTTTGGGTACAGGCTATAAATATGTCTTACTATATATTTAATAATTACAAAGTTTTCTGTTATGTTATTCATTCATATTCATATATTCATATTAACATTTTTAAAGAAAATTAATTTGGAAAGCTGCTTTGCAATATGCGGTTACGTTGTTCATTTAAAATGCATGCTGCCGCTGAAAGAAGCCTTTCGGGTGGCACAGAAGTCCCTAGTACAACAAGACACTTCTCGGCAATATTATGTGTATGCGGAAAAGTCGTTTTAAGTGAATTCCAAGTCTGCAAAGGGCAAACGTTGTGATCTCTGGTGACTTCACCTGTTGAGGTGATTTTGATGTTCCCAGAAGCTTTTGTTTTTTTCTGGTGGTACATCGGGAGGATCGTTAGCATCTGCAGCTGGTATTGTTGGCTGCAGCATTAGCTTTATTTTCATAATGATGGAATCCCACATGCACACATGTCTATACATATGCATATGTATGCACACATACATTTAACATAGGCACATGTTAGTTCCCGTTACTTTTAGCAAAAATACTAGTTTTGTGCGCATGTATATAACACACAGAAGGAGGCGTGGCAGACCCCACAAAGTATATATATTATTGATCAGGATGACAAGACGAGTCGATATAGCCATGTCCGTCCGTCCGTCCGTACGTCTGTCTATATGAGCGCAAGGATCTCAGGAAGTACAAGAGCTAGAATAACGAAACTTGGTATCGAGGTTCCCCTAAGCCCTAGGCAGGTCAAGTTTATTTTTTATTCTGATACACCCCCACTCCCCCGCAATTCCTGTTTTTTTATATAAATTCCGTAATTCTTGAAATCAATTTTGGTAGGTACATTCAGTTAGTACTAATGTGTCCGTGTGCCAAGTTTCATCATGATAGATCAAATGTGAAGAAAGTTGTGGGCATAAATAAAATCACTGCCCATGCTCTGCTTGTAGCTCTGCCCGCAGCGCTGCCCAAAGCTATTGTTGTTGTTGCTGCCTTGGTACAACTTTATGCTGCATACATACACTGATATAAACACGCATAGGCACGTGATGTAAAAGTATGCTGTTAAAACTGAACATAAACATGTCTTCTAATTGAATTTAATTACTTATTTAATTAATTCACCTTTTTTAATAATTTAATTTAAAAAAAAAAATTTTTTTAATTTTTCTTTTTTGTTGCGAGTACAGGCTATTTTACTGTCGGGCTTGCTCGACTGTAGCGTTCTCTCTTGTTTTATGTTTGCAGCACCCTTTTTGCTTTAGTACACACCGTCGGATAAGTTCTGTAATAAATGTTTTCTTTTTATATAAAAAGAGAAAATACCTTTTACATACCTTTCAAGTACATCTAACTTTAAATGACTAACTAATTATTTTATTTTATTTCCTCCTGTTTTCAGGTTAAAATATGGTTCCAAAACCATAGATACAAATGTAAACGACAAGCAAAAGAAAAGGCAATGGCTGAACAAAATCAACACAATCAGGTAAAAATTTATTGGTGCAGTGGCTCATGAATATAAACCAAGAGTTGGTTCACAACCACATCAGAAAACAAGTAAAAAAGCTAAAGTCGGGTGTCCCGACTTTGAAATACTCTGTACATATGTTTACAATAATCATAGAAAATAAAAAAAAAAAAGAATAAAAAAAATTGGATCGATTTTACCTCTCTCGGTATTCGAACTCACGTAAAGGGTGTATAATTGCACATTTACATAGCAATTGCGTCTGTGTGAGTGTATGTATGCCTATGCGCATCTATTCGTGTCTGTGTAAGCATTTTCGCAGTCAACCAAACAGCAACATCAATAACAGCCGCGGGCAGCGCTTGAGCAGCGCTTGAGCAGCGCTGCAGCAGCAAATATATTTATGGCTATAACTTCTTGTTAAATCGGTCTATCATAATGAAACTTGGCATACGGACACATAATTACTAACTGGGGGTATTTGCAAAAAATTAGTTCGAAATTCCAAGAATTACGGGAGTTAGAGAAAATCGCATTTGCGGGGGAGAGGGGGGAGGGAGGGAAATTCCAAAATATACATTTTCTGCGTATTCACACAAGGCGCCTTGGACTAAAATTTGGTGTTCTTAGGTCTTATGGTCTTCGAGATATAGGCGATTATACGAATGGAAAATCGGGAAAACCCCCATAGGGGGGAAGTGGGGGGGAAAATCAAAAAAATAAAACAAACTCGTATAGAATACACACATAACGCATCTTCGTGCAAAATTTGGTGTCTCTATCTCTTATAGTCTCTGAGATCCAGGTGTTCATACGGACGGACAGACGGACAGACAGACAGACAGGGCTAGATCGACTCGTCTTGTCACGCTGATCAAGAATATATATACTTTGTGGGGTCTGCCACGCCTCCTTCTGCCTGTTACATTTTTCAGCTCCCGCAAGCCTAATATACTCTTGTACATTTCATGTACAGAGTATAACAAGAGAGAATGCTACAGTCGAGCAAACAAATAAACACGAACTCGTACTTTCTCGGTCTTAGGAGAATCTAGATATCAAGTTTGGTTATTCTAGCACTTATACTTTCTGAGGTCCTTGCGTTAATACGGACGGACAGACGGACATGGCTATGTCGACTCGTCTTGTCATCCTTATCAAAAACATAAAAATAACCAAGTAAAAAAGCTAAAGTCGGGTGTCCAGACTTTGAAATACTCTGTACATATGTGTATAAAATTTATACGTGTATGTGTGTATTTGTGTGTGTCTGTGTATGTCTCGTGTGCCTGAGCACAGCAGTAACAACAACAACAGCTGCGGACACTACTTGGTCTTATGTACATATATGGCTATAACTTCCTGTTAAATCGGCCTATCATGATGAAACTTGGCATTTTGACTTATAATATAAGGTATATGATTTGCCAAGTTTGAGTTCTAAATTCCAAGAATTACGGGAGTTACGATTTGTGGGGCAGAGGGGGGAGGGAGGGAAATTCCAAAATATACATTTTCTGCGTATTTACATAAGGCATCTGGGACTACAATTTGGTGTCCCTAGGTCTTATAGTCACCGAGATATATGCGATTATACGAATGGAAAATCGGAAAAAACCCCCATAGGGGGGAAGTGGGGGGAAAAATCAAAAAAATAAAACAAACTTGCACAGCGTACACACATAAGGCATCTTTGTGCAAAATTTGGTGTCTCTACCTCTTATAGTCTCTGAGATCCAGGTGTTCATACGGACAGACTGACAGACGGACAGACAGACAGGGCTAGATCGACTCGGCTTGTCATCCTGATCAAGAATATATATACTTTGTGGGGTCTGCCACGCCTCCTTCTGCCTGTTACTTTTTTTACCACCCACAAATCTAATATACTTGAAAATTTATATGAGTTTATATAAATTATTTAAACAAAGATGGGACGCTTGCTTTTAATTCTGACTTTAATATCGAAAATGACGAAACGATTGTGCGATTGTGCTTCTATTTAGTTCGGTTTTTCAACTGACTTCAACTTAGGCTTACATGCTAAACTAAGCCTAAGGCGGCGAAAAAAGGGCGCGAGGCGACGTCCGCAAACAGCCGCTCTCGCGCTCTCTTTTCGCCCTAAACTAAAATTCAAATAATTCTCTTAAACTATCTTAAACTAAAGCAGCATCTGCGCCAACACCGGCCCCCTTGGAGGGACATCGTCCTTCAACAGGCAATGGCGCCAGCCGATGAATAGCCCTCCGTAGATTGCCACTACTCGTGGCGACGTCGGCCACCCGCACCTTCCCGTCTGTCCCGGCGTGAGTTGTGGTGACCCTGCCAAGTATCCACTTTTGTGGCGGCACGTTGTCTTCGGTCACCACGACGAGTTGTCCCACGACGACGTTGGGTTCCTCCTGGAACCACTTCGCTCGCACCTGGAGGCTCGAAATGTACTCCCGGGACCATCGCTGCCAAAACCTGTGCTTGAGACACGAGGCATTGCGCCATCGCCTTAAGCAGGTTTGGCTGTCGATGTCCGGGAGCGGTGGAGCTGGAGTCGCCAGAAGAGGCCGCCCGATTAGAAAGTGGCCCGGGGTTAGCGCCTCGCCGTCGCTGGGGTCCGCGCTGAGTGGTCCCAGTGGCCGAGAGTTCAGCACCGCCTCGACGCTCGCCAGGAGTGTTCCGAGCTCTTCTGCGGTCAGGAGCGCATTGCCCACCGTCCGTAGGAACAGGTGCTTTGCAGACTTGACACCTGCCTCCCATAGACCGCCGAAGTGAGGTGCTCTGGGTGGTATGTACGCAAACTCGCATCCTTTTCTTGATGCGAATTCGCGTACGCCTTCCGCCTCCTTCTCCCATCTCGCTCGGAACTCCTGCAGCTTCCTGTCGGCTCCCACGAAGTTCGTTGCGTTGTCGCAGTAAACTTTGCGAGGAACGCCTTTCCTGCCGACGAACCTTTCAAAAGCCAAGAGAAAAGCATCAGTGGTTAGATCTGACACAAGCTCTAAGTGAACCGCTTTCGAGGCAAAACAAACGAAAAGAGCCACGTACGACTTGTACGGTGGCTTGCCACGGATGCGGAGCGTTGTGCTTATAGGGCCACAAAAATCAACACCACATACTTCGAACGGGTGGAACGGCTGGAGCCTGTCTGCCGGAAGATTTCCCATTACTTGGGAGGCCAACCGGGGCTTCCATTTGAAGCAGAGGATGCACGAACGTACTGTTCGGCGACACACTTCCTGAGCGTTAACCAGCCAAACTCGCTCACGAAGCAGGCTCACCAGCGATCTAGGGCCAGCATGGCAATTTGACACATGCAAATAAGATACGTACGATCTTATGAATTGCGACTTTTTAGAAAGCAACAACGGAAACTTGGCTTCGTACGGGATAGGAGCATTTAATAATCTTCCCCCCACTCTCAGCAAGGAAAACAAGAAACCGTCTTCTCCAAACTCATGTAGAAATGGACTCAGACGCTGTAAGTTGGCGTTAAGTGTTCTCTTTTTTCGAACCTTGTCGATTTCGTCACCGAACTCATTGTTCTGGATGACTTGAACAATTTTGTTGAATACCAAATTGAGTTCGCTTGGCTTGGCTATAGGATCAAAGGGCTTCGAGACCTTTCTGCACCTTTGTATAAATCGAAAAACCCAAACGAACACCCTCAGCAATTTTGAATGTGACGAGTAGCTTTCGATAACTTCGAGAATATAATTGGCTTGCCGATCTGCGAGTAAAACTACAGCAGACTTACGAATCTCTAGGGCAGCTGAATTTTTAGGCGGCTCAAAGTGAGCATTCACAGGCCAATTTTCTTCCGATTCCATGAGGAAGGCTGGCCCTGTAAACCAAATGGAGCTACGCAACTCGTCTACATTACATCCTCTGGACACGATGTCTGCTGGGTTGGATTTCGTTGGGACATGTCGCCACGTTGCATTCTCGGACCACTCTTGGATTTGAGAAACCCTGTTTGAAACGAAAACTGACCATGCCGACGGATGCGACTTGATCCAGTGGAGCGTTATTTCCGAGTCAGTCCACATAACTATCTTGTCTATTGGAGAATTAAGCAACGGGCGGACTTGACGAAAAAGATCTGCGAGAAGGTGAGCTGCACACAGCTCAAGACGAGGCAAAGTTTTCGTCTTGAGTGGAGCTACTTTGGATTTTGAGGTCAAAAGTGACACTTTCCAACCATTCGCAGTCGAAACACGAACATAAATACAGGCGCCATAAGCTCGCATTGAGGCATCGGCGAACGCATGTATTTGAATGGGTGACTGCGTATCTGTATGGACGAATCTAGGGACTTGAATACCGCTGAGGTTCAACAAATTCTGCTTAAATGAGTCCCAAACTGTATGAAGATTCTCAGGGATGGATTCGTCCCAATCTAGTTTTTGTAGCCACAAATCTTGCAGCAACATTTTTGCTTTGGTGATCAGCGGGCAAAGAAGGCCCAGAGGATCGAAAAGCCTGGCAGTCACCGATAATATGTTCCGTTTTGTCGAGCGGAGATCTAGGAAGGAATTTTCCAACTGGAACTGAAATACATCTTCCTTCGGCAACCACATAACGCCGAGCGTTTTGGTTGGGTCTGAGTCGACTGTGGCTACTGGAATAACTGTGCTATCAAATGCGGACAGTTCCGAGCAGTTCGAAAACCACTTTGCCAATTCGAAGCCTGCACTTTGAAGAACGTGCGACACTTCTGCTCGAAGCTTTTTTAGCTGTTCAACGCTTTCAGCACCAGTTAACATATCGTCGACATAAAAGTCGCTCCGAATAACTTCAGCAGCTGTTGGATGTGAGGAACGGACCATTTCACTCAGCCTTGTTAAACACCGCACCGCCAAGAACGGAGCTGGCGACGTGCCATACGTTACAGTGTTTAACCTGAAGATTTTCAAAGACTCAGACGGATCTCTTCGCCACACTATGAGCTGATAGTTTCTATCTGCTTCGTGCACCATCACCTGACGGTACATTTTTTTAATGTCTGCCGCTACGGCGAACTTTCGCAAACGAAAACGAAGCAGCGTAGAATAAAGCTCCTCCTGAATTGTTGGACCGACCATTAAGGTATCATTCAACGCAATCTGAGTGGACGTGCGGCAAGAGGCATCGAAAACGACACGCAACTTGGTCGACGTGCTTTGAGGCCGCAGGACACACTGATGCGGAATAAAATAGTGTGGAGTATCTGGAATTTTGTTGTCCGTGGAGGACATGTGACCGAGCGAAACATACTCGTCCATAAATTCCAGATACATGCTTTTCATTTGAGGGTCTTTTGACAACCTCCTTTCAAGCGACAAAAAACGACGTTTCGCAATTTCATACGATGAGCCAAGATTTTTTGGGTCAGATTTAAAAGGTAACCGTACCTGAAATCGACCAGACGACAAGATTTTTGTATTATCAACAAAGTGTTGTTCACAAAGCTGTTGATCAGGTGAGAGAACTTTCGAATTATTAGGCAAGTCCTCAATGGACCAAAACTTTTGTATCGTTGAGTCTATCGAAAGTAATTGTTCTTCTTGGCAACTTAAATTCACTGCTCCTTCTATACTCGTTGTAGGTTGAGTAGAGCATCTGCCTGACACTATCCAGCCGAGAAGCGTTTTTTGTAATGTGGGAGACTCAGGGCCTTGCTTTATTTGGCCTACCGACAATAAGTCGAAGAATGACTCTGCTCCAATTAGCATATCAATTTTTTGCGGTTTACGGAATTGAGGATCGGCCAATTGAATATTTTTGGGGACCCTCCACCCGCTGGTGTTCACCGCTTGATCGGGATGATAACCAGAAATCGATCCCAAGATCCAAAAATCTGCGGAAAACTCGCTACAATTGACACGCGACTTCACCACTGTATGAATTCTTTTCTTGGCACGCGCATTGGTGTTTCCAATGCCGCGCAAGACCATACACGTATCCTCTCGTCTGAGCTGTAGCTTTTGAGCTAGATCCTCAGTCACAAAGTTGACTTGTGACCCAGAATCTAACAATGCTCTTGCTAAAACGAAATCGCCACTTTTCGTTTTAACGCTCACGACTGCTGTTGCAAGAACCACTCTATCCGAAGCAGTCGCATGCATGGCATGCGAAGTGGAAGAGCTATCTTGAAGATGTAGTGGCTGAGAGGGTGGTGGTAACGCAAGATTTGTGCTAGCAGTATAAATATGTAGCAGTGTGTGATGAGAACGTTGGCACACGCTACATTTCTTTGCCTTACACTTCGCTACTGTGTGGCCTCGTAGAAGACAGTTTATGCACAAAGGCGCACCTTTAGCGAAGTCAAACCTTTGCTGCACTGACAAGGCAATATATGCCTGGCAATTGCCAATCGAATGGTCAGCTGAATTGCAAAATTGACAAAGGTTATTCTGTTCGTTTTTGGCAGCAACGAACGAATGATTTATCCTGCTAGCATTTTTTACTTTTTGAGTCTGAGTGTTATTGTTCGACTGGCTGCCCTTCGCTTGAGCTTTACTAGCTTCTTCAGCAACAATATGCTGGTAGCGTCTGTTAAGAGCAGTCTCACAATCTCGCCATAGTGGGAGCGTTGTGTAGTCGAGCTGCTCTTCCCACTTCTTTTTTGTGGTAGGATCGACTTTGCCCATAACTAAATAAATTAAAATGGCATTAGCGATTTTCTTGTCGTCACCAATTGACAGAAGTGAGTCATAGGTGGCCGACACTGTGTCGATCAGGCTTCTCAAAGCTGACGCAGATGGCTGTTATCGAAAAATATTAGGCAGTCATTATCGTACACCCGCTTTAGTCTTTCAAGGGCTTTGCTATAATTGTCTTCCGTCACTTGGAAGGCGCGAACTGTGCCTAAAGCGTCACCAGCCAAACATGATATTAAGTGATTGAATTTTTCAATATCATGCAGTGTGTCATCATTGTGAACAAAAGTTTCAAAAAGACTCATGAAATTTTTAAATTCAGAATGCTTGCCGCTAAAAGTTGGAAGAGCGACCGCTGGCAATCGACACCTTGGCTTTTTTGAAGTAGGCGGTGCAATACCGTTTGCCGAACTTGAATTGTCGATGCTTTTTCTTCTTAGTTTTTCCAGCTGGCCTTTTAATAAGGATTTGGTCATAATGCAAGTTTCTTCCAACTCTTCACGGTAGTCATCTTCTGTATCTTTTGCTTCAATTTTGCTTTGCAATATATTTGCAGTTTCTATATGAGTTGTTAGAAGCTCTAACCTGCATTCTAACTCGATTGGCTCTAACGAAATCGAGCCTTCTTTTAATTGCCGTTGCATACGACATATACTCCTCATACAGCCCTCGCGCTTCCTTTTAAGTTCTTCGATCAAGTCCTTACTCATATTGATTTAAAGTTTTAAACTTGATCGAACGAAAATTGTCGAGTGACAAACGAGAAATCGAAAATAATATGCTGTTCTCAGCAAGTGTAGGGGAGCGCAACAGATGGTCGTCTAGCAGTGCGAACGAAAACGAGAAGAACTGCAGTTGACTGACCGTCGAAGGCAATACTTTTGGAAGCAGCAGCGAAAGTGGCGACAAACGAAAAGAATAATTCTAATACAAATGCCTTGTGTGCGTTAGCAGAACAGCTAATTCTTATGCATGTATTATGCGAAGCGCAGGCAAACAAAAAATGCAGCAGCTTAAGCGCGAACACGACAGCAATGTATTAGCTATGTTATGTATGCGAGTATGTCGGTATATATTTACATATGTAATAACGACAACGGCGAATTTGATGAGAACAACGAGAGCAAGCAACAAACGAAAACTGCCGACGGTTGGCTGAGATTGACGTGGGGGGGATGCCGTATGTAAAAGTGGCTATGTATATTTATGTATGTATGTATGTATAACAAAATCAAACGACAAAAAATTGGCACTTTAAATAATTGCCTATAGCGGTTCACTTTTATTTAATATTAGTACGACATGCGATTTATATTTGTGTTAATTATGCTCAACTATCTACCGTATTATATTATGGTCACGTATGTGCCAAAGGTTGAAAGTTGAAGGCCGAAATAAGCAATTCGCTGGTTAAATTCCACTTTCAAACTTTAGCACAGTACCTGTGAAGTCGACTTTGGCTCAGGAACTTCCCTTTGGTCGACTTGACTCATCCTCCAATAATCCAGTTGACGTGACAGCAACACACACAATCCCCAGTGCAGCAACAACAACACGACCGACGCGGTTCCGCACAAATTAAAGTTTTTAATTAAAAAAAACAAGCAAGTCCCTGCTCGGGCGCCAATGAAAATTTATATGAGTTTATATAAATTATTTAAACAAAGATGGGACGCTTGCTTTTAATTCTGACTTTAATATCGAAAATGACGAAACGATTGTGCGATTGTGCTTCTATTTAGTTCGGTTTTTCAACTGACTTCAACTTAGGCTTACATGCTAAACTAAGCCTAAGGCGGCGAAAAAAGGGCGCGAGGCGACGTCCGCAAACGGCCGCTCTCGCGCTCTCTTTTCGCCCTAAACTAAAATTCAAATAATTCTCTTAAACTATCTTAAACTAAAGCAGCATCTGCGCCAACAATACTCTTGTACATTTCGTGTACAGAGTATAATTATTTTAATTAATTCTAATTTTAATTTTTACCTGTTGTGCTATCATATAAATATTTTATTATGTTCATTAAAATAATTTAATAATCTTTATTTATCTAATATTTATTTATGTGTTGTTGGTTTATCGAAGTGAAAAATTTTGTAAAATGTTTATGATATTATCAATATATTAATATTCATGTATTGGTATTCTTACTATAAAATGAAATATAATATTTTAATCTTTTAAAGAAATTAAATTTGTATAACGATTTGTATACATTTTCTATTTTCCATGAAAGTCTGCAAGTTCACCCCGGCGCGTAGCTGTCCCAGTATTAGTAAAAGATGGTAAGCCTTGTTCAGGAGGTGGAAGTGGAACACAGCAATCCCATGTTAACGGATCTACAACTTCCGGTAATAACAGTAATAACAGCAGTAGTGGAAACGGGAACAATGGAACGACTCCAGTAGCTGTTAATGTAACGACTGGCCTAAATCTCATAGCTGCAGATGCACCTAATTCACATTCGCCTGATACGTCTTCCTCACTACTAGCAACCTACAGCGGGACAGTTGGAGGTTCCAATGTAGCAATGTTACAGCAACCCTGCAATAACACTTTGATGTCTAACAGTTTAGCTATGGCATATCGAAACCAAAACAATTTTATTTCTAATGGTCATCAGCAACAATGTGGGGGTTACTTACCGTTGCAAGGCAGAGCATGGTAAACATAATATAAGAATATATCCATTTGGCTAAAGTGTACTCAATTCGGTCTAATGTTAATTGTTAGTAAGCGCAATATTTATACATATAAAAATTCTGTTCTGCATTATGTCCTTTGTCCTTTGGTAAAAATTATAAAAATATGTATATAAATAGAACAATGTTTTATATAATAAAATCGAAATAAATTAAAGTAAAATTGACCTGTTTTATGTTGTCTTAGTACTTTAGATGATATTTGATAAAATGTAGGAGATAATTTTCAAATCCAAACAGGATAAAACGCTCAGTCAAGCAAACCCGAAAGTAAACAAGTAGAGAAGCTAAAGTGGGGTGTCCCGACTTTGAAATTCTCTGTACCCGTGTTTAGAATAATTATGGAAATTAAAACAAGAAAGGAATGCTAAAGTCGAGCAGGCTCAACTCTTAAATCCCCTGTACCACCACACAAACAAAAAAAAAAACAAATAAAAAAGCTAAAGTCGGGTGTCCCGACTTTGAAATACTCTGTACATATGTTTACAATAATTATAGAAAATAAAAACAAGAAAGGAATGCTAAAGTCGAGCAGGCTCAACTCTTAAATACCCTGTACCACCCCACAAAAAAGTAATTAAACTAATTAATTAATTTAATTTAATTAATTAACTAAATTAATTTAATTAATTAACTAAATTATATATAAAATATTCAATGCATGCATACATACATTTACATTTACATCAGAATCGTGCCTTATGCGTGTTTGTGTACTTGTACATATATATGTATGTGTGCATTGGGCCTGGTTTTATGGCTATAACTTTCTTTCCGATCATTCTATCATAATGAAACTTGGTATACGGATATATAATCACTAACCTAATGCGATTACCAAATTTTAGTTCAAAATTATTATTATTATTCAAAATTACGGGAGTTATAGAAAATCGTTAATAGGGGGGAGTGGGGGGGTGGATCAGAAAAAATGAACAAACTCGTCCTTTCTCGGGCTCAGGAGAATCTGTATACCAAGTTTGGTTATTCCATCTCTTATACTTTCGGAGATCCTTGCGTTCATACAGACAGACAGACGGACAGACAGACAGACGGACATGGCTATATCGACTCGGCTTGTCATGCTGATCAAGAATATATATACTTTGTCGGGTCTACCACGCCTCCTTCTGTGTGTTCCATGTACACTCGCACAAAACTAATATACCCTTGTACCCTTTGGGTACAGGGTATAAAAATTAAGAAAATTAAAAAAAAAAAATTTTTTGATCGATTTTACCTTTCTCGGTATTCGAACTCACGTAAAGGGTGTATAATTGCACATTTACATAGCTATTGAGTGTATGTATGCCTATGCGCATCTATTCGTGTCTGTGTAAGCATGTGTGCAGTCAACCAAAGCATCAACAACAGCCGCGGGCAGCGCTTGAGCAGCGCTTGGGCAGCAAATATATTTATGGCTGTAACTTCTTGTTTAATCGGTCTATCATAGTGAAACTTGGCATACGGACACATAATAACTAATTGGGGGTATTTGCAAAATTTTCCAAGAATTACGGGAGTTAGAGAAAATCGCATTTGCGGTGGAGAGGGGGGAGGGAGGGAAATTCCAAAATATACATTTTCTACGTATTCACATAAGGCACATGGGACTAAAATTTGGTGTTCCTAGGTCTTATAGTCTCCGAGATATAGGCGATTATACGAATAGAAAATCGGGAAAACACCCATAGGGCGAAGTGGGGGGGGGGGGGGGGGGGGGGGAATCAAAAAAATAAAACAAACTCGTATAGAATACACACATAACGCATCTTTGTGCAAAATTTGGTGTTTCTATCTCTTATAGTTTCTGAGATCCAGGTGTTCATACGGACGGACAGACAGACAGGGCTAGATCGACTCGTCTCGTCATGCTGATCAAGAATATATATACTTTGTGGGGTCTGCCACGCCTCCTTCTGCCTGTTACATTTTTCAGCTCCCGCAAACCTAATATACTTCTGTACATTTCATGTACAGAGTATAAAAATTAAATTATTAAAAAAAGTGAATTAATTAATTAAGTAATTATATTCAATTAGAAGACATGTTTATGTTAAGTTTTAAGTTTATTTATGGCTATAACTTTCTTCACAAGTGACCTATCATGATGAAACTTGGCACACGGACACATTAGTACTAACTGGATGTAACTACCAAAATGATTTCAAAATTCCAAGAATTACGGAATTTATAAACAAAAACACGAATTGCGGGGGAGTTGGGGGTCTATCAGAATAACAAAATATGGAATATGGATACCGAGTTTGGTTATTCTAGCTCTTGTACCTTCTGAGATCCTTACGCTCATACAGGCGGACGGACAGACGGATGGACGGACAGACGGACATGGCTATATCGACTCGTCTTGTCATCCTTATCAATAATATATATACTTTGTGGGGTCTGCCACGCCTCCTTCTGTGGGTTACATACATGCGCACAAAACTAGTATAGCCTTTCACCCTTTGGGTACAGGCTATAATAAAACAGATTGTCATGATCAACGCCCAAACGGTAAAAATTGGACTCAAGTATCCTTTCATTGGTTAGGTTGGTGATAAGAAATTTTCCTTCTCCTTCGAACTCCAAATGGGGAAAAAATAGCTTCAAAGTTTTTATGAACAAGAGAGAACGCTACAGTCGAAAAAAAAATTTTTTAAATTAAATTACTAAAAAAATTGAACTAATTAATTAAATTAATAAAGAAAATGTATTTAATACATATACAGAAGACATGTTTATGTACAGTTTTAACAGCATACATTTACATCATCGTGTCTACGCGTGTTTATATGCGTGTATGTATGCAGCACAAAGTTGAACCAAGGCAGCAACAACAACAACAACTGCGGGCAGCGCTGCTGGCAGAGCACATAAGCACTAACTGGATGTAACTACCAAAATTAATTAAATCAAATTATTTCAAAATTCCAAGAATTACGGAAGTTATAACAAGAGAGAACACTAGAGTCGAGCAAGTCCGACAGTGTAATACCCTGTACCCAGGTAAACTTCCGTCACTGAGTTATATGCGCCCATAGCAGCAGCAAAAAGAGGAAGAAGAAGAGCGAACTTGATGCTGCAGTTTGGTGGGTTGTACTGACGAGAATTTGTTTCGCTAATAACTTTTCTTAGAATTGACAGAATTGAATAAAATTTTATACAACAGTAGATAATTATATAATAAAATATATAATATATAAATATATATATATAATATATAAATTATGTGTGCAAAGTTTGGTTTAGGTAACATTTGAAATGTAGACGCTATTGACGAAATTCTGTAGCGGGGGAAAATTAAAAAAAAAAAAAAAAAAAAACTCGTCCTCGTTCTCGGACCTAGGAGAATCTGGATGCTAACTTTGGTTATTCTAGCTTTTATAGTTTCTGAGATCCTTGCGTTTATCCAGACGGACGGACGGACGGACATGGCTATATCGACTCGGCTTGTCACCCTGATTAAGAATATATGTATATACTTTGTGGGGTCTGCCACGCCTCCTTCTGCCTGTTACATACATTCGCACAAAACCAGTATACCCTTTCACCCTTTGATTACAGGGTATAAAAACTGCGGACTTGGTTTTTTGAAATTTGCCTTGGAGCTTGAATTATTGGGGTTTTAATATTTCTTCACTATTTTTCAAATGGAAAGTTTTACAAAAATTTTAAATATTATACATTTTATAACACACACACACTTAACACACATATACCCTTCTTGTTGCTATGAGTTACTAAGAAGGAGTAAAATTTATTTTGGATATTATTATTTTAATGATTATCTGTTCGTTTTTAGATTTTTATACTCTGTACATGAAATGTACAGAAGTATATTAGGTTTGCGGGAGCTGAAAAATGTAACAGGCAGAAGGAGGCGTGGCAGACCCCACAAAGTATATATATTCTTGATCAGCATGACGAGACGAGTCGATCTAGCCCTGTCTGTCTGTCTGTCCGTCTGTCCGTCTGTCAGTCTGTCCGTCTGTCCGTCCGTATGAACACCTGGATCTCAGAGACTATAAGAGATAGAGACACCAAATTTTGCACAAAGATGCGTTATGTGTGTATTCTATACGAGTTTGTTTTATTTTTTTGATTTTCCCCCCCACTTCCCCCCTATGGGGGTTTTCCCGACTTTCCATTCGTATAATCGCCTATATCTCGGAGACTATAATACCTAGGAACACCAAATTTTAGTCCCAGATGCCTTATGTGAATACGCAGAAAATGTATATTTTGGAATTTCCCTCCCTCCCCCCTCTACCCAGCAAATCGTAACTCCCGTAATTCTTGGAATTTCGAACTAAAATTTTGCAAATGCCCCCAGTTAGTTATTATGTGTCCGTATGCCAAGTTTCACTATGATAGACCGATTTAACAAGAAGTTATAGCCATAAATATATTTGCTGCTGCAGCGCTGCTCAAGCGCTGCCCGCGGCTGTTGTTGATGTTGCTGTTTGGTTGACTGCGAAAATGCTTACACAGACACGAATAGATGCGCATAGGCATACATACACTAACACAGACGCAATTGCTATGTAAATGTGCAATTATAAACCCTTTACGTGAGTTCGAATACCGAAAGAGGTAAAATCGATCAAATTTTTTTTTTTTTTCTTAATTTTTTTTATTTTCTATAATTATTGTAAACATATGTACAGAGTATTTCAAAGTCGGGACACCCGACTTTAGCTTTTTTACTTGTTTTGTTATTCTTTATTTGGTCAGAGGTTCTCTGTAAAAGATATTTGATGTTTTATTTTGTGGTAGCAAAATAAATTGATTTTCAGGAGCACCGACCCATGATAGGTCAACATACAGTAAAACATTGCTTTCGTATTTCGATCCCTACTAAGTCCAAGGCTTGACCTTGGGACTACCGGAAATTGAAGGCATATCAAATGGGATCATCGAGATCCTCGTTATATGAGCTAGTTCACCAGTTGCTCGGCCGTTGATAATGGTTGCTGCACTTAAATTGCCCTGCAATTCAGTGTTGCCAGCACCTCGCTACAAAATAAGTACAAAGAAACATAAAAAAGCGGAAAAGAAAAATTTAAAAAGGACAGAAAAACAGAACAGCTAGTTTTTA